GGTGCGACTCACGTTCTACGGTACATCAAGGCCTGTCCCGGGCAGGGTTTGTTTCTTCCAGTACAAAGTGATCTTACTCTTAAAGCTTTCTGTGACTCTGATTGGGCTGGGTGTCCCTTGACTCGGCGTTCTGTTACTGGATATTTTATCACTCTTGGCGATTCCCCGGTATCGTGGCGTACAAAGAAACAAAGTGTAGTTTCCCGTTCTTCGGCTGAAGCCGAATACAGGGCCATGGCAACTACTGTTTGTGAACTCAAATGGCTGAAATCCCTTCTCTTCTCCCTTGGTGTGCGTCACAAACAGCCCATGCGGTTGTTTTGTGATAATCAGGCTGCTCTTCATATTGCCGCTAATCCGGTCTTCCATGAACGTACAAAACACATTGAGATTGATTGCCACTTTGTACGTGACGAAATCCAACGAGGTGTTTTGTGTACTCGCCACATCTCCACCAATGATCAACCGGCAGATCTCTTTACAAAGGCTTTGGCTTCCGCTCCGTTTTCTCATTTACTGTCCAAACTGGGCATCCAGAATCTGCATGCTCCAGCTTGAGGGGTGGTATTGGAACTGAGAAGTCCGGATCCGGAGAAGCCTGGATCCGGAGAAGTCCGACTTCCGAGGAATCCGGATTCCGAGAGATCCGAATTCCGAGAGGTCCGAATTCCGAGAAATCCGAACTTGAGAAGTCCAAATCCTTTGATGACCGAATCCCATTCTAATTAGGATTGATCTTGATTTATTTGTTTCCTAGTTTGATTATGATTTATTTCCTTGTAGGATTTGTATTCCTTGTCTATTTTGGAATCATCCTCTCCTATAAATAAAGGAGAAACCTCTTGTAACTAAACAGAACAATTGAATATACAGAAAATTTTCCTCTTATTATTTTCTACACTAATTATATTACTTGTAAATTACAGAGTATATAGGGAGTAGTATATATGGAGTAGTATGTATAAAAATGTTAAAAAAAATAATATAGAGTAATACAAATTAGAAATGATTAATACTTCTCGGCTTCCCCTATCCCTTAGTATTTTCATAGAGTTTCAAGATAAACTCAAGCGTCACAACATTTTGTCCTAGAGCAGTAGAGCTAGTCCCCAGAGATGTCCTCAGAGAATCAGCGATTGTGCGAGCAAAGTGCAACATGCAATCTCGACCGATGCAAAAAGAGTTGATGGACTATTTGGTAACCCTAACACAACATCGCAAAACTACAATCTTGACCCAATATGTTGGGACTAGAGACCGGACCGGATTGGACTACTGACCGGACTAGATTGGACTAGTGGTCTTATTTGGTATTTGATTTTGATAAGAAGACCGGACTAGTTAGGACCGGGTTTTTAAAAAGACTAGTCCGGTCCAGTCTTTTACTGTAGTAGTCTTTTCTAAAAACCGGTCTAGTCTGATCGCATCGGTTCTTTTGCTCCAGTCGGGTCTTATTGTTTAAGAACAATGATGCAACTTTTCACAAATTTTGGTGATCCAAATTTAATTGTAGAGAATACTTTTTTTTTGGTGGAGAAAGCATTGAATGGAAAAAAAATGGGGAAAAGGGTGGGTGTTGAGCAAAGTGCCAGCAGATGGCCACTTTATGAATTTATGAGTGTAGACTGAAGACTAAATGTAGCCGTTTCGGCATCAAAACTTCCTCGTTTTTCGTGTCCTATGAGAAATTTCAGGCAAAACCACACAAAAACAAACAAAAGCCCACCTTTTCTTTTTCTTTCTTTTTTTCCCTTTTTTTATTCAAAAAAGGAAAAAAAAAAGCCCAACCAAACATCACCAGACACATAGTATGTTCACTCCACATTTGTCTGCCTATTCCCGGAGTTTCATGTCCTTTCCCGTCCTCAAAATTCGGCTCCCTTTTTTTTAATGTCCAAAAATTGGTGAAATCTTTATTTTACGTTCATTTTTTTTGTTAAATTAGCGAGAAAAAAAAAACAAAAGCTTGATTTCGAGATGGGGAGACCACTTTTCACAATATATATTTTACTCCTACTTCGTATTTATATTCTCTTAAGTCTTTATTGTATTTTTTTAATTCTAAATTCAGATTGTCACATTTTGATTTTTTTGTGCTTATTTTCACTAATTATTTGATATAATAATGCTTTAGAGCTGTTTGTTTCAGCCTCTTAATGATTCAGATGTCTGAATGGTTCAGCACTTAATGATTCAGACTATTTGTTTCAGCCTCTTAATGGTTCAGATGTCTGAATGGTTAAGATATTTGCCTCTAAATGATTAAGTATTATACAGAGTCTGAATGATTAAGACCTCTTATATGACATTTGCCTCTGAATAGTTAATCAATATAATAGCTCTTAATGGTTCAGACCTCTTACTGGTTCAACACTTAATGGTTCAGACCTCTTACTGGTTCAGCACTTACCAATTCAGAAGTTGCCAAACAGCCCCTTAATCTTATCATTTCTTTTCTTTATTTGTGTAGAATTTATTATGTTGTTTTTTACTATTATAAATATTATTTTTAAATTTTGCTTTATTTTTCATATAATCTAAATTGAAAGTAACTCCATTAAGCATTATAACCCGCAAAAGAAAATTCTTTCTAAAACGTAAAAAGTGTGTGTGTATTTATATGTATACTTGTGTCTCATAAAAACTTCTCAGTTTAATTTTTACAAAATTCAAGAAAAATGGTGAAAATACAAAAAAAGTATGGTTAGAATTGACTAATAGGAGACAAAAGATTTCTTAGCCACAAATCGTATTTCCTTGAACATGAAATATTTTTTTTTGCGACGAACCAAAAAAGAAAAGTGACATTTTTTTGTGGGATTGAGGGAGTATATAGATTAAATAGACACACACATGACACATGGAGTAAATGGGAGTATATATATAGAAATAGGGGCGTTATGTTTCGTTCATTCATAGACTAATCCTCCCTCTGGTGTGAACCCAAAATTTCCAGGTTTCTTGACCTCATTTTCAATGGCATTGTTCAAACTCAGATCTTTACCAATGTGGTTTAATCTCAAGGTGTGTTCTTCAATGTTCCTAATAATACTTTTTTAAACTCCGGCATTGTTTTCTGCTGAAATTCTTGGAAAATTAACACATACCCACTCATCCTTCCTGTTTTGGAATGTTTTTGCAGAAGAAGAAACAGAGAGACGCGGTCGGCGTTTGCTTCATTTCATCATCAAGCTTTGGAGTTAGTGTTGAATGAACGAAAAGGAGAAAGGGGAAATGTGGAATCTGAGGAATGAAGCCGTCGGTCCGTTTAAGCGCATATTCTTATGTAACTCCAATCTTACAATGGAATTTGCCATAGATGAATGAATCCTTGTTTGTTACTGTATTTCTTTCCTTCTTCTTCTTCTTCTTCTTGTTTGTTTAAGGAAAATTAAAGTAAATGGTGAAATGAAGTTTTGTTGTCAGAATGAAGTTTGTATTTGAGCAGAGGATGTTGTCTCAGGTCCTCCTAGTGACTGCTGGTTTCTGTTTTTCTTTTTTTTAATGTTTGATTTGTCTGTAAAGGATGTTTTTTCATTTAAAAACATAAAAAAGAAGAAATTATGTTTTGACAATTGAATTAAATCAGGCATGACATATTGACACATCTGGATTCTGTTTCAGGCAACAATAAAACAACAAAAAAGATATCCCGTACAGACTACAGAGTAGAGTGGAGTGATATTTATATCTCCATTTTCTACTTTTATTATTATGCCTGTCATGTGTGTTCATAATGCCCCACCCCAACACCTTAGGCCCTGTTTGGATGATTGTTTTTGTAGGGTTTTTGGTGGTGTTGGGTTTGGAAGTTTAAGGCTCTATTTGGCAAAACAAATTAGGTCATCTTACTAGCTGGTTTGTTTTACCACATTTTTTTACTGCTTTTTAGATTACTTTTACCAAACACTCCCACTACTAGTAAAGATTTTATAATGGAGTAAATAATAATTTTAGAGATTAGACAATAGAGAGGATCATATACTCCAAACAGAACTACTGGGTGTTTTTTTCTTACTCATTTAAGTGACTTTACACATCCTTTTTTACTAGTCATGAAAAAAACAGGATTAAGAACAGTTGAACAGACTGTTTGGATCTATGAACAGTGACTGACTGATTCCAACAAAACATTCTTTGACATCAAATTACGGATCTGCCCAGGTGAGATTCAAACCAGTTGAATATTTCTTCAGACTGTAAGCTTGTCATTTCATGATACCCATAAGCCAGATTCATTTCTTCTTGGATGTGTTTGACCAAGGTCATATCAGGAAGAAGAGACTTCATCTCCTTGACAGCCAAATCATCCCATTGTATAGACCTTCCATCTTTTCTCATATAACCCCTCTTGTCCACAAACCCTTTCTCCTGAAACAGCTCAAACAGTTTCACAGAAACTGTTTGATTCAGACCCGGAACCCGACCTGCTAAAAATTCGGGTGAGAGCGGGAATTCCCAGCACTCGATCTCTCCGACATCAACACCATTCCCTTTCAAAAGTATGATGAACCTCTCAATGCTAAGCTTTCGGGCTCCATCTCTGGGCATGTGGACGAACAGGGTGGGCGGGTACCCGTTCTTGGTATTGATTCTGTCGAACAAACCTTCAGCTATCATTAGAACAATGCTGCTGAATTGGATATCTGTGGCAAGAAGGGAGACGAAGTATCCACCCGAGGAAGCACCGAGAGCGACAAGAGGCAGGTCTTCCAGGTTTTGCTTAGATACCCACCAATTTATAATGTATTTCACTTTACGCCTTTCCTCCCCGAATGACCAGCATCTTCTGGCACTGGATATGGCAAGAACTGCAAACTTTCTTGAAAGGGCATTCATCACAATGAGCCTTTCTTCAGGCAGGCCAACACAGTTGGGGCAGTTTGGGTTTTTGTCCCAAAAGTTGAGAGCTTTGCCATTGCAGCCGTGCGCCAGAAAGAGAACTGCCTTCGGGTTTTCAGGTATTTGCCATATCAAATCCGTCCCGTTCTTGATTTCGACAGTGGGATCCAGATTAACAGAAGAGGAGCCCAATGAGTTGGAATGTTGGGTTGATGTTTGTGGTGGTGATGGATAAGATCTCTCCCCATTTCTCCCAAACAAAATAACGAATGAGACACATAGGAGTAGGAAAAACAGGGTTAAAACCGGCAATCGAATGTACCGAGCAAGGTTTGATTGCTTCTGTGATCTGTTTCCACGTTTCGACATAACTACAGAGATAAAATGTGAAAAAGCCATTAGTGCCCAAAAAATTACAGAAAAGAAGAGCCTTTAGGAATCATATATGCTATCCAAACTCCTTTGCATCACAGCATTTGACAAAAAAACATCAGCGGATCATATTTTAATAAAGAGTAGGAAATCGCATTGTCACACTCTGTATAGAATACGAAAAAGAAAGGAAAAATCATATCTTTATAATGAGCAATGAAAAAAACTCATATTTTATTTCCTTATAGCTAATGCAGGAACCCAAATTTGCAGAAAGTAAGGAAAAGGTTCAAACTTTTCTCCTAAGTCAAAAAGGGAAATAAATACCCACTTCCGATTCAAAAAAAGGAACATAACTTGCATCTTCAGTAGTAGAGTAGAAATTTTTTAAAAAAAATTGAATTTTTATATTTAATAACATGTTAATAGTAAAAAAAAAACATGTGCTTTGTTCATTGCGTCGTTTTATCAAGCAGCTGATGGGCATGGAATGATTTGAATATGATGAAAAACAAAAGAGTAGTCGGATTTTTTTTTGTTTATTTTTTCAGTGGCTAAGATCAACTGAGTCTTTCTCGAAATCTAAAACGAGAAAATTACCTGAGAATATAAATTACAAAAAAAAAAAGACAGTGGATCTGGATGGGAGTTTTTAGGTGAAAAGATGTTCTTGAATCTGAAATTGGAATTGGGAGTTTTGCTGTGAGGCTGGATTTCTAAGTACGTTGTTTTACACGCGTCTGAAAGCGAGCGTCACGATGTCTCATGTTGCACCACGTATCCAATGTACTACGTACCATATACGGACTATACCACAAGTAAAAAACATCTTTGGGAATTAAATTCCATCACACTATTCACTTGTTTGGGAATTTTTTTTTTCATTTTGGTTTTAGTAGTCTGGTTTGCAACAACGTTATAATTTAGCATTTTAAAAAAGTTATCTAAATGCAACTTGCAGTATTAGCATTATTAAAATTAATCTATATCATTAATATTTTATCTGAAATACTAACGCTTATCAAAAATGGTACTCCGTATTTTGAAACAAAGACTAGATCACTTCTATTCCATGAAAGACTGAAAATCAATTCTTGAAAGTGAAATTTGCACTAAATAGAACTAAAACATAAGTCATTTCTCAATGTTGGACTTAAAACTTTTTTATTCCCTAAATAGAACTTAATAATGTCTAGTGGGAGGAATAATGTCCAGTAATGATGGACATTTAGTAGAATAATGACTAATTGATAATAATCCAAAGTTCTACATTGGAAAATAAAAATATAAGGTCCTATATTGAGAAAATCATTATGTTTTAGTCCTATTTAGGTGAATTTCTCAAACATAAGTCTTTTCTCAATATAGGACTTAAAGTGTATAGACCGTAAAATCGATGTATATACATTTGTCATTTACAAGTCTCGCAATAATTTTCACATTTTCTTTTTCATTTATTTCAAAAAGAGATTCTGATCTGCTTTTTACTTTTAAAATGTTTTGTGGCTAGAATTTGTATGAAGTATTCCACGACATTTTTTGCAAGTCACCAAAATTATGTTGGATTTCTTTTTAATTTTTTTTACAATTTACTACTAGACCTGTGCAAACAAGGATCGGCCCGTTTGGCCCGCCCTGCCCGCCCATTAAAAAAGGTAGATATGGACAACCTTTAATACCCACATGGGCGGGCCGACCCGAGCCCGAATTGTATTTGGGTGGATCTGGAAGTTACTTTTAGTCCATCTGGGCCAACAGGCCCGCCCATATTCTTCAAAAATATTTACTTTATTATTAATTATCTAGCCAATATAATTTAGAAAAATTGTTATAGTTCATTTATAATAGTTCAATTCACTCATCTCTCTTAAACAAAAATTAATATTCTTTTAATGAATTAGTATGATTGGTTTATTAATTATGCAACAATACCTATGTTATTTTTTTATGTAAATTTGGCAAGTAGTGATTTTATTTTAAACATTGAAAAAAGAGTACAATGTTTTTTTTGAATATTTTGTGCAAAAAAAGTTTTCTTGTTGTTTTATCCGGGGTGGGCGGCCCGGTGGGTAGTTCGGCCCGCTAAGGTGGGCGGATATGGGTAAAGAGTTTAGTCCATCAAATGCGGGCCGGGCTAGACCCACCCATTTAAATGGGCTAATAATTTGTATCCAACCCGGCCCAGATCCGGCCTGAATCTTATTTGCACAGGTCTACGTACACGGTATATCTATTTTAAAGTTTAAACTACAACAATTTCATTAAGGATGAACTAGGTTTCCAAATTATTGTGAACTTTTTGTAACATAATCCAACATTATTCACCATTCTTTAGACCTTAACAGATTTTCATATTTACAAGGTATGTGTTTGTTCACTTCAACTTATTCTTATTTAAAACAACTCAGATTGAATCAAATTAGAAATTATTCCAATCAAATCAGATGCAGGAAAAAAACCATATCTCATGCATACAAATTTTTGTGAATGATTCACCTACATCCACACATATGAAATGTTTCTCAGAATTCTTTTTTAGTATCAAAGGTGGTATCATTATTGATGTACATTGACAATCACTCATTGGCACATAGCACATTATCCAAAAAGCTCCATAGGATGAAAACCCCATAGCCACACTTTGCAACGTTGAAACCAAACCATAGCAATCAAAGCTCTATACCAAAATAAAAATTTCATATTTTTATTCTTGAAATAAGATATAATAGAAGCCAGAATGCTCACGATTATATACATTATCAAAACATATTGTAAAATGTCTATGTACAACACCACATTACTACCCTACGAACTTTTATTTTGGAAGAATGGAGGATAAAAACAAGGAATTCTTATTTTAGTACATTATATATACTTTAGTCTTATTTAGATTGATTTTTCTATTTACAATGACAAGTTGGGATTAAAAGCTTAACCTTTGACCAATATGGGATGCAAAATGGACACACTCCACATTTCATATTGAAAGAATATAAAAGAGAGTCACAAACCTCCACAAAATACTTATATGCACATATGGTTCTAACTGAATGTTATTGTTTTTTTTATGGGCAGGGTTTCGAACCTTGGTGGGGGGATTGGAGGAAGAGGAAGGAACTACAAAACCACTCCAACCAACCCCTCCTTGAATTTAATCACAAAAACCAGACTGAAATCTTGCAATTATTTTGGATAAGCAGAAATTGCATCTCTTGATGAATCCTTGGAATCTGTAAAAACTGTCACAAGAATGTTAGTAGCAAACCTAAAACAGTTGCACACATTACATATGATATAGTTGATAAAGCAACATAAAAGATACAAATTACATATTCTGAATAGGGTTAAATATGTTTTTAGTCCCTATCAAATAGTTGATTTTTGTTTCTGGTCCCTGTAAATCTTTTTGTTCAAGTCATCCTCACAAAATTTTTGTTTTGAAAATGGTCCTTGAACGTAACTAGCACTTCTAATTTGTTGACATAAAACATTTATTTCGTACTCAACATCCTAAATTTTCATTTCTAATTGCCTCACACACAATTTTCATGCTATAGATCGTTTGTCCATCATCAAATTACATATCCAATTTCCAAATTATGTTATACTATATTCTCAAAGTATTTGCAATTGGAGATGTAATATGAATAAAGACATAATTTAGGGCATGAGAATTGTGTTGGAGGTAGTAGAATTTGAAATGCAAGACTAGAATGTTTAATAAAAAATAATTGTGTTATCTCAAAAAAAAAGAAGTGCGAATTATGTTTAAAGACCATTTTCAAAATAAAAAAATGTAAGGATGACATAACAAAAAATAAAGTTTACATGTACCAAAAACAAAATTGGCATATTTTACAGGGACTAAATCATATTTAAACCTTTTGAATATGACAGTTGCACTTTACCAAAGTTTAAAAAACTGTACATTGAGGAAAGATAACTTTTCTTAAAATGGAAGCAATATTGTTTTGGAAAAAAAGATGTTATTATAAATTATTTGATATAAAGTTTGTTGTAATGAAAAGTATATTATTAAATACATTCATAACAATAACAATGTAGAACAAACTTGGGTTAAATAAGGTGAAAGAAATAAAAAAACCCAAAATGTCCCAAATTGGGCAAGTGAGGTATGAGAGGTTTTCGGATACCCATCCCCAGCCAAAAGACTGACATCTCCTTCAATTCCCTCTAACCAAACAAAGGCTTAAAATCAACAACTAGTAATGTGCGAGGGGGGTTAACCTAACCTTCATGTTCATGGCGCATCCAGTCCTGGGCACACATCAATGCCTGCAAAGTATCAGATCTTAGCGAACCCCGAGAGCTGTCAAGGGTTCTGTTTCCAGTATCATAAATAAACTCAAGTCCACCTTTTGACAATGGAATCCCAAGAACATTGCAAGCCATCGTAGATAAAATTGGAAATCTTGGGGTGTGAACCCTCCACCAATTAAGTATGTCGAAATCAACATTCCTAGGAAACAGTGGTTCATCTAAATACTTGTCCAAGTCTGATTTTATGTTATGACTATCTGAAGTTTCACATAGGAATCTATCATAACCCATCAGCCGGTCTTCTCTAGAATCATCACTTGGACCATGAGATGCTAGTGGTGAATATTCTTCTGCATGTCTATGGTACAAAGCCTTCATGCAGTTTGAAACAGTATCAATGCATTTTGCGGACTCAGTACCATAAATTTGAGGGTAAAAGTAGTCGAGAAGTTTCATCTTGAACCGTGGATCTAAGATTACTGCGATTGCCAATGCCATGCTGCACTTGTTCCAATACTCATCAAATCTGGTTTTCATTTTTAATGCCAAAGAACGAATGAAATCGTCCGAGTTCTGGCACCATCCAATCAACAGCAAATGAATATCACAAATTTCATTGAAATACATATTTGCAGTGGAATACTTGGATCCTGAAATAGTGTTTGAAATGTCAAAAAATTTCTTGAGAAAACAAGTGATAGAATTAGCCCTGTCCCACTCTGCAGTAGATGGGCATGCCTCATAATGAGGGTCATGTTCTTGTAAAAGGGTAAACGCATCTTTGTATTCTAAACAAGCTTCAAGCATGGTGTACGTGGAACTCCACTGGTTCATATTATCAAGACACAGGATTTTCTGGCTACTAATTCCAGCCACTTGAGCCATCTCGTCAAACTTTTCTTGTGTTGACTGTGACTGGTGAACATACTGAATACTTTCACGAATCTTGTTGACTATCTCAAATAACTTCTCCAAAGCATCTTTAGCCATCAACTTGACCAAACTTGCTGCACAGCGTATATCAATTAATTGCCCGTCGTAGAGAAACCTGTGCTGACAGAGTTGCTCCCTGATTCTTGGAATGATTTTGTCAAATAAAGAATAGCAATCCAGTGTCACCGAAAACAATTTTTTGTCAATATCCCAATTCTTCAGACTTGTCATGATAATTTCTGAAACAACGTCTTCTGTTTGAGAAGGATCAATCATTAAAAAGTTCAGAATCTTCTTCTTCAGATGCCAAGAATCATCAATGTAATGAGCGGTCAAGCACAAGTATTCGGCATCTCCATTAGCAGTCCATGTATCAGCAGTTAGGCTTATACTCGGTACCTTATCCAACTCCTCATACACCTTTTGTTTCACCTTCAAATAAATTTCCTTACAATCAGCCTCCACCCCATCAAACGTTGGAATGTCAAA